TATATGTATATATATATATATATATATATATATATATATATATATATATATATATATATATATATATATGTATATATATATATATATATATATATATATATATATATATATATATATAGTATATGTGTGTGTGTATACATAAGTATAAATATACCTAAAACTATATATATATATATATATATATATATATATATATATATATATAAATATATATGTGTGTGTGTCTGTGTCTGTGTGTGCCTGTGTCTGTGTCTTTGCGTGTGCGTGTGTGGATATGCGTGTTAATATATACTTTTGTGTGCGTGTGTGTGTGTATGCATATATGTTTGTCTGTGCGTATATCTACATATATGTAGTCAACAAAGAGCTATATTATGTCGAACGATTAGAATTATAGAACTCGAATCCTCTAAACCACAACCTGTCGCTGTCCAGAGTGGGATCCGATTACTACGACAATTTTTTTGAATGAGAAGTGCTAGACAGGACCAGCACCCACGCCCGGAACTACTTCAACCACATCGCCGATAGATAACAACTAGCTGAAGAGAGGTGACAACTTTGGTATGGACTGAATGAGTCATACCACTGGTATGCACTAAATGAGTCATACCACTGGGTGGCAATGCACGCGGTTGTGTCTCCATGCACGATCGCAGACCTGAGTGGCTTATCTCAGTGTGTATCTGACATGTGGGACGTTTGGCAAACCCGGGGCATTTGACAGTTTGCCCGAGGTCCGGTACGTGGTCGCAGGGAACCAGTCCAAAATATCCGGGTGTAGGGGTTATTAATAGGGCCTGTAGATAGCGCTCTACGAGCACACTATGGGCGAATGAAACACGAGTGTTTGGTGGCAGGAAGACTACACAGTGGTATGTTCGATGGGATCTCTCTGTGAGAATAGCACATCTGTAGTATTTGTACTAGTGGACTCAAAACAAGTAAGTACAAAGGGGACCTACTTATACATCCGAGACACAAATAAGTACATACGAGATATACTTGAACGCCCGAGACAGCTAAGTATGCACGTGATATATACTACAGCGCCTGAGTGCAATATGTACATTCGTAACCTAGTACTATCTTACATTCGAGATACATGGCTATATACGTGACAGGTAAACTACTCGTGACAAAGCCAAGCCTTGGTGATAATATTGGTACGGCTGTGGAGTGTAGATTGAACCATGATGTAGCTATGCACGCTCATACAAAAGCACACCTGTTGTGTATTCGGACACTGTGTGTTAGTGCACTGGGGCCGTAGTGATACATCAGCGTGACTATAATCAGTTGGAAGCCACAGGTGCAAACCCACATTTTCCGTACACGCATAATAGATACGTACGGCTGCACAGTAGTTGAATTTGTTCCATATTTTGCTTATGTTGTACCTTATAGTCTACTCATGCGACTACTGCCGCACAGCTTATCCCTTTCCTATTTGGGCTCAACGCGTGTTCCTGCTACATTTTAATGTACGAGCAAGGCAATTGGCAGTAACCCAGTACATTGCACCGAAATCCTCGTTTACGAGACCAGAATAAAGAAAATTTGTACGCCCTATCTGGGTAGTTCAGACTGAATAAAGGTTCTGAATATATCCGAACGCTCACATAGACTTTCATTGGTATAGACAGAGAGCCTTTGTACCGATCACCGCGCTTCGCTAAACCAACAGAGGAGATGGATGAGGCATGCCTATTGCGCTTAACGAATTGCAACTAGATTAGCAAGCTCTTGCGGACATGCGCCTATCTTCCCTAAACAAACGAGGCAGAGAAACTAGCACCAACCATTTTCAGTATATGCTGGTCAGAATTAGCGCTCTCATCGCTTGTTCTGTGACTAAATCACACTACACAACGTTATGAGTTAGAATAATCCGATCCAAGGCAATCTCAGAGCTCTTTCTACCGATTTATTAACGTACTTCTGTCCGAAGCCTACCATTACCTATTTGTTATCTATTTGATCACCAGATGCATGCATCTCGCGAGTATCTGGTGATCTGCAGCTTCACCTGCTTAATGAATATACGCGGTCTTGTACTTTACTGGCTAATGCTTTCCGTTGTCTAAAGCATCCTTATCAATTACCTTGCTATGTACCTAGTTACTTTTCTTCTCCTTAGGACCGATGGAGCACAAAACAACCACCCATTTTGATGTACAGGTCAATGAAATACCATTATTAGCGCTACTTCTCATGATCGTTTGGGACTAAACAACAATTAATTCAGAGAGTCTGATATCTACGCGTGCTTCTCCTTTTAACCCAACTGTCGTACAGACGTTCAGCCGATACAATGTGCGTCTCAGTCCGTCTGACCCACACCGCCAAACTGAGGACTGAGAGACAGAGCCGGAGGAGATACGTACGAACCATCAGGGCATGCGCATGCCAAACACATGCACGTCCAGCAGAGGATTGCTAAAAATCGGCATGATGTTGGCGTACTTGATCTTTGGCAGATAACTGAGCGTTAGATCTGTGAGGGTATGGATGTGTATGTGGAACATGAACATGTCATAATATGAGCTGGCGTTTTCTGAAAGTGAAGTGCCAATGTGTGTACTATATCTTTGCATATAGCGCACTGCAATAGTCCATTGCGTCTGGCGGACAGGACAGAGTCCCGCAACTGTGACCATACCATAGACGTAACTCGGCTCGTACCTAGGTGTGCAGTCACTCGCGCATGTGCTACCGATTTACTACCGATCTTAAACCCTAAACCGTAAACCCTAAAGCTTGGTCGATCAACTTGCCTAACGGTAGATATCACAAAGCTAGATTCGTGGGTTCGAGAAAGAATCTTAGGACAAAGTTGAGAGGCATGGCTGTGGGTAGGTATGCTACCTGATACATGAGAGGCCGAGTGGGGTCCCGGATAGGGTACAAAGGTATATAGTCTAAGGCATTATGCCGCTCAGCATGCAGCGACTGACAGTATCACGCCGAAGCCTAGGGGAGTGGCACCCAATGGGCCCAGTTTTGTGATATCTACAGTTAGGCAAGATGGTCACACGCGTACTACACTGTCACACTGATAGCGTGCGCATACCACATCCTATAAAACCCTAAACCCTGAACCTTTAACCCTAAATGACCCACTGCAATAACCCCCCCCCCCGACATAGACTGGCAACATGGCTACTGTGTCACTCACCTCTTAGAGACTTGATGTTGGTGCACCTCAGCACTCCCACTGGTGAAAGTGCATGCGTGCTCTGTAGGATGAGCTCTGTGAGCAGAGTCTCCTCTTCTACGAGCCTGTTGCAAGGGAACGCCAATTGCTTCAGTTAAGCTGAACCGAATCAATCGGTGTATTTCAAGCCGTCTCTTCTGGCGCTAACTCGTGCAACGGTTTGAATAGAAGCGAATGAATGCGATACCAGTTTTTCACATAGGTGCACACTCACTTTGAGCCAAAATATTGCGGTAAGCGTATCCGTACGAGTGTTGTATGTGGGACACAAGAGTATATGCATCAGCCTCAAGAGCTACATCAGTGTCAGATCAAAGTACATCACGAAGCCCATGCGCATATATAATTGACCCCTTTCCTCGAGAACACCGCTACTGTGTATATCAAGCCAATAAAATACGTATATATTCCGTTATCGTATATGCAGAACCTATATGTTACCTGTCTATTCCATTATCGCCGATATGCATCCCACTCAAACTCAGTCGCCTCAGCGTGACGTTGGAGGCTACAGGTGTCTGCACATGTACAAATAAAAGTTATATTAAAAACAACAGATGAAAATGAGTCATTCTAAACATCCGAGGCTAGTTAAGTTTTAACCTATCCAAGGCTTCACCAACTAGAGTGGTTTTAACTATCGGTATTCGGAGACAGATGACGTGTACTTGCTGTTGGGCAAGAACAGTCCTAGACCTAGCAGCGACTAAGCTTATCCCATATATATGCCGCGCTTGTCTGTCCCGCCCTAAAACGTTTACTCTACCAACCAAGATCGATAGATAGTAATCTATATCTACTCGTGACGTTCAGGTTCTAGCTATGTCCCATTTAACAAGATATTTCATGTGCATACCATCACTTGGTCTGAGACATTGGGGAGTTGTTCCAAATGCAGCCGTTCGAGCGCGTTGCAGTTGCTCACCAGAGCACAGACACCATCATCAGTGACATCGGACAGGACGGCCAACGTCATATCTTTAAGTGTACTGAGCATTCGAAGGAGAAAGTGCACAAGGTTTATGGTCGTGTCTTTGAGTGTACTGAACATTCGGAGGAGAACGTGCATAAGGCTTATGATTATATCTTGAAGCGTATTGAACATTCAGGGGAAAGTGCATAAGGGTTGTAGACATATCTTGAAGCGTATTGAACATTCGGAGGAGAACGTGCATAAGGTCTATAGACGTATCTCTAGGTGTACTTCGTGGGAGTATATGTTTAATATTAGTGAGCAGGAAGCGGCAAATATCGGACATGTCAAAACGTTCAAGATAATTCAATCATGTGATGAATGAATCTAAAGACGTTAAAATAGTATATGTCTAAGAACATTTTAATTAAATCAATATATATTTATAATTTTGTGTGTTTGTGTGTGTGTGTATTTGTGTGTCCGTGTGTGTGAGTATGTGTGTGTATTTGTGTGCACGCGCGTATGTCCGTGTGTACAGATAGGTGGGTGTATCCATATATCCCTACACACACACACACACATATATATATATATATACATATTATGATATATATATATATATTTTATATATATATATATGTATATATA